GTTTCCGCTTCTTGGCTGTCAGCTCAGCATTAATTTCCTCCTCATCTTCAGCTCTTTCAGTAACCTCTTTAACTTTTGCTTCCAACTGAATTTTGGTTTTGATGAGCTGGTCGCATCTTTCTTCAGCATCAGCTAAAGCGTCAGCTTCCTGATAGAGAAACATAGTATTGTTTGCTGATTCCCAGATTTAGCAAAAGCTGAATAGAAAAAGGATAATTCCTGTTGAAAAATCCCCATGGAATTCCTAGTTTTTATTATCTTGTGGGAAATAATTTTTGCACAACCCCTTTTAAATTAGAGTAGGATCTTATTCTACTTTTTTTACTCTTGTTAAGTATTCTCTTTTGCTTATTTCGACATGTCTAAGTATACTTCTTTTCTTACAGATTTTGTTTGCTTTCCCTGAAAGTTAAGAGCTGAATGGAATTGTGCACAGATCTTTTTGCTTTATCTGTGTAAAATCTTTTCTTGGCAAGGCTGACTTATTGTTGGTCTTGTTCCAGATAAAATATTACATAATCTATTTACAATTGGTGTTTTTCATTTGAACCTGACTTTTTCTTTCAGATGTGAAGTAGACACTTAAAGACAGAAGAGTATCGTGTGAATGTTGCAAATCTTTTGATCTTCCAAAGAACATTTGAAACCACATAGGGCTCACAGTTAGGATGTAGAAGGTATGTGGGTCTTTCGGGAATAGTAGCAGAGTAGGATAGATGAAATACCATGCACATAAGAAAAAAACATAAGGCTCTTTTATTTTGGGTAACTGGTTAAACCCAGAGTCCGTAGTCAAGTGAATTGATTTCCAGACTCTGTTAATATGTACTAGTGACTCTAGTGACTACAGTTGAATCTAACATTGTGAGCTTGCATGGAGAAACATTCCTGTAGACATGGAGACTTAATAAGCAATTCTCAAGTTAGAACTTGACACTGAGTGAACTGTATTTTACCTTTAGTGTTTCAGATTAAAATACTTTCTAAGGAAATTTAGTATGCAGTGTGAGAGTTCCAAGCTATGAGAGAGGACTTAGATGATGTTTTCCCCTGGAAGAAATATGCTAATAATACTTACAGCCTGCACTTGGAGCTGCAGATCGTTTTTCTCCTGCACGAGTTTCACCATTTTCTCCTCCAGCTCCTTCCTCTTTGCCTCAGACTTTGCAAGCTCTTCCTTGGTTTTCTCAAACTCTTCCTTCATGTTGGCCATCTCCTTCTCAGATTCTGCACTCTTCAGCAAGGGCTTGATCTTGAAGAACAGCTTCATCCAGGGCCAGTGCTTCACATTCATGAAGGACCTAACATTGTACTGGATGCAGAAGATGGACTCCCTGAAGCACAATTAAAATGTACATTAAGTATTTTCAGTAGGATGGGTGTCAACACTTTCCTCCAAGTGCAATGACTTTAACTGAAGATGAGGAATGTCTACCTCCTCTCCACCATTCTCTGGTACTCCACTCTCATCAGGAAGCCCCTACATCTGGCCTGTGTGCGGGTGATGAGCTGTGCCAGCTTCTCATCCCTCATCTCCTCCAAGAGTCCCAGCAGCCCAGCTTTGAAGAACACCTTGAGAAAGGGAATGTTGCTGCAAGTCACTGGCAGGTAGAGCAGAGCACAGAGATGCTGTGAATGACTCAAGAAAGGTTTGTACCTTGGTGTGACCAAATTTGTACTGGGTGTGGTCCACATCAATTGACCCAAGAAGCTTCTCAGAAGCTTTCTTGCTGTCAATGAACTGTCCCTCTGGGATCGCACTGGCATTAAGCACCTTGTATCTGTGGAATGAAGAGGAAATATGAATGAAGGCAATGTCATGTCATAAGGGTATAAGTCATAAAGGTTTATGCTCAGGTCGCTCAAGTCATAAGGGTTTATTGAAAATACCATCAGTCTGTACAGCAGAATTGGGCTGAGGAAGTTGGAATTTCACCTCTTGTTTAGTGATACTGAAGTTCTAATCTGGTGACAAAGTTAGGGAAACTTTTAATGTCTTTAGGTGATCAGTCATCTCTAAGAAAAGGATACTGATCTCCAGCCGTTTCAGCCCAAGACCTTTTTCACTTAAGCTATGCTGTAGAAAATTTCTAGAGAGGAACATTGCCACTATGCGTATAAGAAGAAAGCATCTTCCCCTGGAACTTGCAGCTGATACAATGGCCAAAGCACTCTACTGAGTTTGGAAATTTTATCTGAGAACATGTTGTAGCCGTATGCCAATCTTCATTTTTAAATCTTGTGATCACTGATTTGTGTAGCTTTATTGTGCTTCCATATTCAGAGACACTGGCAAAGATCAGTTGTGTGATGAACAGCAAATAGTGAGGACATCTGACATCTCTTAATCTCTCAACAATTTCTCTTTTTCTAGCCTTACATATTACACTTTATGCATTTCATTATTTTCCTCTTCTTTCAGTTTTTTTGGCAATATTTATCTTTCAGATATTTGGCATTAAAAAGTAATGACAAATGTTAAAATTGTTAGGAATTACAACTTATGTAGTAAAGACAGAATGGAGAGCAGAGACGAGACTGACCTCTGTTTGAAGTCAGCATAGAGGATCCTACTGGGGAATCCCTTCCTGCAAATCCTGATGCCTTCCAGCACACCATTACAGCGCAGCTGGTGTAGCACCAGTTCGTGCTCCATCGCACCTAAGCAAATAAGACAATTATTTGATACTTCATGTTAAAGCATAGAGAATAATGGCTGCATTGCAATATTGTTTCTCTCTACTTGAGGTTCTTACCAGGTGTTTTCGTTTCGTTGGGGATGATACAGCGCACAAAATGGGGGTGAGTGCTCCGTAGATTGGTCATCAGCTTGTTTAGGTTCTCCTGCGGGTTCACGAGTAAAGGTTTTTCATTAACAAATGGTACCTCCACAGTTATATTGTCAAATGTGAGAAAACTGTTAGAAAGCTACAATGAGTTTATTATTCCCAGCTATAGCCAGCCATATGTTTTCTTCTGCCTTTCAGCCTTAAGCATGAGAGAAAGTCACAAAACTGTGTAATGTGTTCTCATGAGACTGAGGGATACATACACTCAGACAGGACACTTATGGAGGATAACGACCAGAAGTTCATGGCAAAAATCATAATTTTGAGTGAAAGATGATTCTCACTGTACAGAAGATGCTGACTATTGATGGGCATGGAAAAAAAACAAGAATTGGACAAAAGGTAAGAGTGTCAAGGACCAGTTTTGCAGCGAGGGATGGGAAGGGCAAGATTAATGGTATTAGTCGCTACTTGTGAAGATACATTTGGTGGATCAGGGGAAGACAAGGAAGACTCCCTGTTCAGTGAGAATGGAGTCACAAGTCATAGAGAAAAGGCATGAATGACAGGTCTCACAGCACCACTTTCTAGAAGTGTTTCTGAAAGCAAACCCATGATCTCTCTCTGATTTCAGCAATTCTGTTTACTATCTAGGTCTTAAGAGTTCCCAGGTTAGCCCTAGTTTGGAGCAGGAGCAAGGCTGCTTAAGTACTTTTTTTATAGTGTGAAAAACTGTTCAAGATGCCAGATAGTAGCTAGATGCATGTAGGTGCTGAAACAAATGTGTTTCCATCTGCCTTAAGCTCTGTCCGTTGGTGGCATTTCACTATTGCCTGGTCTTCATATGTGTAATCATGTGCAAATGCACATACATCTGTTTGTGCAGATCCAGACTTGAGATTCCCTGTAAATGAAACTGTAGCCTGACTAAGTACTTTTTCCAAGACTGGCAGAAAGGCTAGATCAAGATGTATCTTCCTGAGCTGACCTCAGCTGACTTGCAGTCAGTTCTTCTATAATGAAATGAAGAAATGTTCTTGGTGCAGAAAAATTTTCACTTGTGCAATAAAACAGCTTTGTTGGAGTTAGTGTGAGGTTTTACAATCTTTAACTAAAATTAAAATTAAAATAGAGAGAGAGATGGAGAAAATAGAGAGAATTACTTTTGTACTTACCCTGAAAAGAGCTGATACAGTCTGGAAAGAAGAACCCTTCTTCTTGCCTCCCTTCTTGCCGCCCCCACCACCACCACTAGCCTCTGAAGAACAGCAAAAAAAGATGGTTTTAAAACTTTGTTTTGTAGAATTTTTCTCTATGAGACTCCAAGAAGCTTCTTTCTATGTATCAGTTATGCTAAGAAAGGAACATAGGAAGCAGTAAGAGACAGAGTCAACATTCAATCTAAACGAACACAGGACAAAAGGTGTGTAATAAGATAAGAGATTATCATGCCTGAGTGGAAGGCCTGAAACAGATTTAATCTTTTCCTTTACTGAAAAATTGCAGACATAGGAGTCTCTGAACAACATGCAGTTATGCAGTTAAAGGAACTGTGTGTTGTTCAGAGTGTTCTAAAGGAGAACACTCTAGCTGATAAAATTATGAATTTCACAGAACTGACCTGCTTCTCCTCCAGCAGATGCAAAAAGTAAGGCCAGTGTCTTCAGGGATGATTTCTGATACAGCCCCACAACAGTTTCATTCAGGGGGTCCTTGTTCTTGTCAAGCCAGCCAGTGATGTTGTAGTCCACCGTGCCAGCATAATGCACCAGAGAGAAGTGAGCCTCAGCCTTGCCTTTGCCAGGCTTGGGCTTCTGGAAGTTGTTGGACTTGCCCAGATGCTGGTCATACAGCTTGTTCTTGAAAGAGGTGTCAGTTGCCTTGGGGAACATGCACTCTTCTTCCAGGATGGAGAAGATGCCCATGGGCTGGGAGAAGCAGAAGGAAGAAGGAAGAGGTGAAAAGACAGAAAGAATCACAGGTAAAGAAATAGGTTCCTGAGCGGGACAACATTAAATCCCCACTCCCAGGGATTTTTCTTCTCAGTAGAGCAAATTGTAAAATAAGCTTCCAATGTATTGTAACGTATTTATAATATTTACCGTTTCAAGCTACATTTATAAAAATATAAAATATTAATGCATTTCTGAAATGTTAGGTTTGAACTGCACAAATACCTTCTCAATGAGCTCAATGCAGGCAGCCAGGTCCATCCCAAAGTCAATGAACTCCCATTCAATTCCTTCCTTCTTGTACTCCTCCTGCTCCAGCACGAACATATGGTGGTTGAAGAACTGTTGCAGTTTCTCATTAGTGAAGTTGATGCACAGCTGCTCCAAGCTGTTGAACTGCACAATTGCAAATAAGATTACCATTAATGTAAATTTAAAAAGTTAGGGATAAAGAACTGTGCTGGCATTTTGTACCAAATCACAGCAGGATCTGCAATTGTTTCTTCTTTGCTCAACCAGGAGTTTGTAACTGCTGTCAGTGTGTCTCTTTTATCAATCTAAACTTTATCCAAATTTTTGACCTCTGGAAGCTTGGGCCAGTTGCCAGACTTGCCAGTTTTGATATCTAATAGACTGGGCAAATTCAGTTATCAGAGAGCCCAAAGTGCAACAGTTCATCCAACATTACCAAATGCTGATTTCAAAGCATGTCCCAAGACTTCTAATCACAAGTTTTAACTAAGGAACTGATGTCTCTATACATAGGTACAAAATGCCATGTTAGTCTACAGTTTGTAAGCAGTAAAAATCCTGCATTTACACATTTCCACCGGCATATGTACAACACCAAAACTTATTCCCAATTAAAAACCTATGGGAATCATGATACATTAGATTCAATCTCAAAGGATCAAATCATTTCTGAGGAGAAAAAAAAAAGGCATAATTCCCTCTAAAATACTTTGGCATATAATAGAGTTACTTCTAAAGGCAAGGTAATAAAACACTGTTCTTACATCAAAGATCTCAAAGCCAGCAATGTCCAGGACACCAATAAAGTACTGTCTGGGTTGTTTGGTATCCAACTGTTCGTTGATGCGAACAACCATCCACAAGAACATCTTCTCAAAGACGGCTTTTGCAAGGGCACCTACTGAATTGTAGACCTAAAATAAAAAAAACATGAGACTTGTAGCTATTATGTAAATCAAAAGAGGAAGGCCAGAGGATTTGTCAACAAAATGGGGAGTTTTGTTACCTGCTGCACAGTTTGACCCTTGGTCACATATTCATTCCCAACTTTGACTCGGGGGTAGCAAAGGGCCTTCAGCAGGTCGGCTGAGTTCAGACCCATCAAATAGGCAGCCTTGTCAGCAACTAAAGACCAAAATAAGGTACCAGCAGACATTAGTGTTCCTTTAAAACAAGTACTAAAAGCAAATTCTGGTAAAGATAAAAAAGGTAAAGAATGTAAATTATGCCCTTACAAATAAACATATAACCCTGAAACAAAGTTTGGCATTTAACCTTCTGCTATTGCTTTTACTGCTGAATTCAAATGCTGCCAGCAGACCCACTAGGCAATCATCATACAAAAGTATAGCAGATTTCTCCAAGAATGTTGGACAAGATCTAACAGTCTGAAATTGTGTCGAGACATTTATGCTAGAAACTGGGGAAAAGTTTCCAATGAGTAAGGATAATGAAATACTGGAATAGACTGCATGCTTTTCTGAATTTTTCCAAAAGCAGATAGAAAGATGGCACAGTAAACAGGGTCCACAGGAGATGGAGAAGATGCACTGCCACACTTAGTTCTCAGCCTCATGAGCAAATAAAATGAGAAAAAAGATGACTTTGCCACACTGAGAAATTTGTTCATAAGTTCAGAGTAATCCTCAGAAGAGATTCCAATGTCTCTGCAAAAAAAATGATTTCAATGGAATCAGTGCACACTCCTCAAAATATTTTCACTGAAAAATGCATCACCTAAGTAAAGTTATAGCTGTTATTTGTAGCCTATTCTACTATTACTGTTATCATTATCAGATTCCTTTCAATTTTATTCCTTCCAGCCATTTTACAATACAATATTAGCATGTGCAGAAATGTGCAAGCTGAGTCAATGATTCTGACCATGAATTTTACTGCC